AATAGCATATTGGTGTACATATATAAGCTACATTCCAAGTAGTTTTGACATTTTTTTTTTTGATGATTTTAAACCATTTATCGCCTATTTTACACACAAATCCAATATATTTCCAAATTATCATTTTGGTGTAATAATTCATTTTATTTTCACATTTACACCTAAATATAATTAAGTATTTTTTGTATATTTTTACAAATTTGTTTGGTATTTTTAAAGCTAAATTGTATGTAATTGCAATTATAGCCCATCTTGTGATTTATGACATTTTACGTTTATATAATTAGTCCCAGCATTTTTTATTAATATTTATATAATACTTATTTATCCAGTACGTTTAATTTGTTTTTAAAATCAGTATTACCATTTTTATAAAATTAAAAGAGGAAAATTGGCTATTTACAATTTGGCCTTATTACATTTCAATTTTAGCTAATTTGGCACTTCATCTCAGCCCCAATTTAAAAACCCAATTACCCAGCATAATTAATACGTCTACCCGAACCATACCCTTTCTATCATACCCAAAATCGTTCCCCATTTAACCCGTTTAATCCCAGCCGTTGATCCTTTAGATCAACGACTCTCCTCTTCCCTTTCCTTTTTTAATTCAAAAGACCCTAAAACCCTACCTTATTTTTTCTCGACCGCCGCCTCTGAATCCTCTCCTCTCTCAACTCTCTCTCAACTTACCCCAAACCCTAGCCGCCACCTCTCCTCGAAACCCTAATCTATGGCTTCTCAGGCTCATCGGAGGCTTATACTAGCCTCTCATTGCTTCTGTGTGCTCGCTTCTAAAGGTCCAATGACTAGATCTTGAAGGGTTCCGACCAAGCCTTTGTTCGATGACTATTCTTTGGTCGTCTTCAACCTTTGTCCGGCCAGTCGTGGCTATTCGAGTTCGATCTTCGACTTCTCTGCTCAGATCAATGGTTTCCAAAGCCTATCTCGTCACCTGGGTTTCTTACGAAACCCTAATCTCTAAGGTTCCTTCGATTTATTTTAGATCTGTCCTGGATCTAATAATAGACCCTCGGCATCTGCATCATCGAACGTAATATTTTCTCCTTCCAAGACATGTCGAGGCCGCTTCCCGTGGGTAATTGTTACTTTTGAAACCTTTTTATATGACACATCGTTGATCTCTTCACCCCCGCTTATAACGTTGACAGTTCTCTTGGGCGAAGGTGGTTTTGGAGGATCTTGCCTGTTCTTCATGTGTGCTTGTTTACCTTTCTCACTGAATAACTCAGTGATATACCCCTGTTTTAGCAAATGATCAACTTCACCTTGCAGAAACCTGCAATCTACTGTTTTATGCCCGTGATCGTTATGAAATTCTTACCAATGATCAGGGTTTCGTCTGTTTGGATTCGATCGCATTTCCTTTGGCCACCGTACCTTATCTCCCATGCTCCTTAAAACAGCTACGAGTTCAGAAGTGCTTACGTTGAAATTATAACCACCAACCTTGCCTTCAGACCCCTATCATCATCTCGTGGCTCGCGTGTGTTTCGATCGTTCCCAAATCTGGAAGACGAGCCTGATTCTTTATTCCTTGATCTGTGATCATACCTTTGATTATCCTGATTTGATCGTGAGTCTCTTCCCGCAGGTCCCATGTATGGATCGTACCTGTTTTTACCGAATCTTTTTTCATTTTCTGCACGTCTTGAACTTACTTTTTCTTCTTTTTTATGTTGTAAAATAATATCTTCTTCAATCCTCATCTTTGTACTGTATCTGTTATAGACGCCATTCCACGTCGTTGCTGGGAATTCTCGGAGGCTTTCCTTGAGTCGCCTCGTAGCTTCTGAACTGTTCTTTCACGTTGAAATCTGTCCACGAATTCTCTAAGCGATTCTGACTCCTTGCTTGATCTTGAAGATATCTTTCATTCTTTTTTCAATGAAGGAACTAATGCGTTAGTATCCTGCAAATCTCCTTGTAGTTGTTGATTTGTTTGATTTTATTGGTTTCCTTGAGTGTTATCATTGTTGTTTGCCAAAGTTGATGTAACAAGAAAAGTTAAGCAAAGAGGAAATAGATTATCAGATTTCTGGTAACGGAACCAATTTGTTTAACCAAAGAATGGAATTTTAGTCAAAGCTAGAATTTAGAAGAACTCGGGTTACTGATAATCAAAGAAACGAATAAAAGGAAATAATTCTGAGTAGCAATATAATAACCAAGAAAAACAAGTGATACCAGTGTATATTTCAATAGCTTTTTTTTTCGTGTCCTACAGCTGATCATATATCTCCTTTTTATAAGTACTTTTGAGATTGTATGTTATGCCCAAATCATAATGAGGCTATTATGAATAATTAAAGACATTGAATGCTACGTTACACAATCATTACATTGAATATATATATTTCTTAACGGACTCAGCATTTAATACCCATTAAATGCTGCATCTGCACGTTTTTTATAACCAGATTGATTCCTTCTGATGCCCAGATTTAAATGATTTAAATAGGTACAGGCGCCGTGTTACTTATCTAATGTCCCGTGCCTCTTCCTCCTTCTTTGCTTGTGTCTGTTTTACAACTCTTGAATCGTGCCTAATTATGATTCATTGACCATTTGACCAATCCACGTGTACTGACACGTCACCTTATATATAAAATACAATTTTCCCCAATACAGTTCTACCCACCGATCAATCACCCCTACCTTTCATGATTAGAATAATACTATAATCATTTCACATGATCTTTCTCTCCCCCATTGTCATGTCAGCTCCTCCGTTGCAGCCATCAGACACCATTATTTAGCACCTGCTAGTTCTAGTTTTCCCTCTACCACCAGTTATTATGAGTCTCCAGTTCAGTAATAGTCCACTCTGACATTGAGTGAAGATGCTTCCAGCTCTCCTTTGCAGCAGGTAAGTAGCCCTACTCCTGAACCTGCTTGTATAGTTACTCGTTCTCAGCATAACATCTTTAAACCAAAAAAGCCTCTTGATTACTCGGCTATAGTTGTATCCACAGATTCCATGATTACTCCCACACATATAAGCAGGCAGCCAAATCTAAAGAATGGTGAGATGCAATGCAGGAAGAGGTTGATGCGCTTATGAGGAACGAAACTTGGAGTCTAGTACCTCCCTCTTCCACACTAATGTTATTGGGTACAATGGGTATTTCGGGTCAAACAAAAAGCAGATGAAAAGATTGATCGTTTAAAGGCTCGATTAGTTGCAAAAGGTTTCCATCAACACCCTCCCATTGACTTCAACTCCACATTCAGTCCCGTGGTCAAGCCTACTACATTTTCCTCATTCTCACATTTGCCACTTATTTCAAGTGGCCTCTCTATCATCTTGATGTCAATAATACCTTCTTGCAAGGCACTTTAGAAGAGGAAGTTTACATAGAACAACTCCTTGGTTTTGTGAATCATCAGTACCCCTCTCATGTTTGCAGACTTCGCAAGGCAATCTATGTTCTTCGTCAAGCACCTCGAGCTTGGTATATTGAGGTTAAAAATTTCATATGTTCCATAGGGTTTGTTGGTTCCAAATCAGATACCTCTCTGTTTATAATGTGTGGTCCAGGTTTTGTTCTTTTCCTACTCTTGTACATAGATGATATTATTTTGACAGGTTCATCCAGCACCAAGATACTTCAAGTCAACAAAGTGCTTGCTGCCCGCTTCTCGCTCAAAGACTTGGCTGCACTCACTTAATTTGTTGGTGTTGAAGTTTGTTGAACTACCACAGGTCTTTATCTCTCCTAGAAGAAGTAAATTATTGATATTCTTCATTTGTTCAATATGCTTGATGCCAAAGGTGTTACCATACTTCTTGCAGCCTCTGTTATACTTAAGCTTGCAGATGGATCTGTCCCTACGGATCAAAAGCAATATCGTCAGCTTGTAGGTGCTCTTCAGTACTACTCTATCACTCAACTGGCATTGCATTTGCTGTCAACCGGCTTTCACAGTTCATCCAGCAGCCAATTCACCTCTACTAGCAAGCTGCCAAATGTGTTCTGCGCTATCTCAAGGCTACATCTACCCTTTCTCTTTATCTTGGCCCCCGTGCCCCGTTTGATCTCATTACTTACTCAGATTCTGATTTGGGTGGAAATCCATATGATAGGTGCTCCCCTGGTGATTACATTGTGTTCCTTGGATGCTCACCTATTAGTTGGTCTTCTAAGAAGCAACTAACAATAGCTCGATCCTCCACTGAAGCTAAATATAATGCCATTTCCAATGCAGCCGCAAAAACTAATTAGATTTTTGACCTTTTGAGGAACTCCATTTCTCTACCTCCAACAATCTAACAATCTATTATGATAATCTAGGGGCGACTTTTCTCAGTCAAAACCCAATCTTTCACAGCCGAATGAAGCATTTAACTCTTGACTATCAGTTTGTACGAGAGCAGATCTGCGACAAAAGAATGGTTGTTCATCATGTTCCTTTTGAATCTTTGCTTGTTGATTCTCTTACTAAGGTGGTATCAGCTACAATGTTTCTCCATCATCGATCCAAGATTGGCGTTGTTCACCGCCTATCTTGCGGAGGCATAATAAGGCAACATAATCTTTTTCTATATTTGTTTCACTATAATCTTTTTCGTTATTTTATAGTTTATTTTTCTGTTACAATCCTTATTCTTCTATGTATATCTTTGATTGCGATTCTTTGGGATCCTTCTTTCCTTTTGTACATGAGCAACCTTGCTCCTCCATCTTGTATTTAAAGAATCTCAACATAATAGATAAAGGCAGTTCTTTGCAAACTCATTCTTGAGCCTCTTTAGTTAGTCCTCCCTGCGTTCCAGTTTATTTGAATCTATTTGATTAGGCACGAAGACAACACCGTCGGGTATACCAAGACAATTTCCAGGTTCTACTTATGGGAGTTGGTACCTCCTGTTTTCCTGTTTCCCTCTATTGTGTTAGTTGAATTGTTGTAGTCTTAGTTCTTATTAGTTTATTCACCGCATTAGTGTGCCTGTAGTGGCATCTTGTCTTCTTCTAGTTTGATCTGTTGTGTGTGTTAGTGATTCCCCTTAGTCCGTCGGAGGTATAGTGGTTGTGGTTTGGGATGGTCGAGTGAGCTCATGTCCTTGGGGGGTGGGTCGGGAGGTAGGGCGGCGGTTAGGGGGTTGGTTGGGAGGAAAGGGAGGTAAAGGGAACAAGGGTGTTTATCGGTTGCGAATTGGGTCATGGAACATAGGTACATTGACAGGTAAGTCTATGGAGTTGGCGAAGATCCTCTAGAAGAGGAGGGTCAATATAGCGTGTGTCCAGGAGACGAGGTGGGCAGGGTCGAGTGCGAGGGACGCGGAGGGGTATAAACTTTGGTACTTAGGAACCCGGAAGGGTAAGAGTGGAGTGGGTATTTTGGTGGATAGGTAACTTAGAGAGTCTGTGGTTGAGGTTAGACGAGTGAACGATAGGTTGATGGTTATTAAGTTGGTGGTAGCTCAGTGCACCCTAAACATCGTTAGCGCCAACGCGCCTCATACGGGCCTAGATGAGGAGGTTAAACGACACTTTTGGGAGGGGTTAGATGAGATTGTACGTCAGGTACCACCTGCTGAGAAGTTATTTATAGGAGGAGATTTCAATGGTCATATTGGGTCGACCGCAGGTGGGTATGACAAAGTGCATGGAGGCTTCGATTTTGGGGAGAGGAATGGAGGAGGAACCTCGTTACTGGACTTCGCTAAGGCTTTTGGGTTGGTTATTGCATACTCTAGCTTTCCAAAGAGGGAGGAGCACAGGCATGGTTGCTTCCCTTACCACATCCCAGGCCGGGGGAGGAGCACAGACTCCCGCCGCCCGCACTCCTGAGTAGCGAGTGCATGTTGAGCAAGTCCCAGAGATTATACCGGTACAGCTTGTAGCCCCAGCTCAGCCCGAGGAGAGGGCAGTAGTTTCAGAGGAGGATCAGAAGAGGCTTGAGAGGCTCAAGAAGTATCAGCCTCCTATATTCAGTGGACTAGCATCAGATGATGCTCTAGGATTTCTAGAGGAGTGTTACCGTATCCTCCGTACCATGGGTATATCAGGATCGAGCGGGGTTTCTTTCACTACCTTCCAGCTTCGAGGAGCCGCCTATCAGTGGTGGCGTGCTTAAGAGTTGGACAGTCCGGATGAGGCAGCTTCCCTGACTTGGACTCAGTTTTCAGATATGTTCACGAGAGAGTATGTTCCCCAGATCCTCAGGGACGCATGGCGCGCAAAGTTTGAGCATTTGTGTCAGGGTACTATTACTGTCTCGGAGTATGCTGTCCGTTTCACTAATTTAGCTAGACATGCACCAGCTTTGGTTTCTACTGTTTGCGAGAAGGTTCGCCAGTTTATTGAGGGGCTCATTCCCAGTATCAAGTCTAGTATGGCTCGGGAGTTGGAGATGGATATTTCTTATCAGCAGGTGGTGTGCATTGCTAGGAGAGTAGAGGGTATGCATGCTCGGGATAGAGAGGAGAGCGAGGCCAAGAGGTCTCAAGAGTCGGGCCATTATTCTGGTGCCCGTGCCCCAGCTTCAGCTCGTCATGGTAGGGGTTATATGAGTCGCCCCGTTCATTCATCTCTTCCAGCAGCCAGTGGTATTCCAGCTCCTCCTAGGCCTCAAAAGCCTTATTATGCACCTCCAGTATCCAGCGCGCCTCCTGCACGAGGTGCTTTCAGTGGTCAGTCCAGCAGACCTGGCCTGAGCCAGTCAAAAGCCACCACGTCCTTCCAGAGCTTGTTTTGAGTGTGGTGACACACGCCATGTGGTGAGGGATTGCCCTAGACTTGGGAGGGGTGCACCTTCACAGACTTCTTAGCCACAGCGCGCCCCGCAGAGTTCTCAGGCTATGATCACAGCACCAGTTGCTACCCCACCTGCTCAGCCAGCTAGAGGTGGAGGTCGGGGAGGTAGAGGTTGCCCTAGAGGGGGAGGCCAGGCCAGATACTATGCCCTTCCTGCCCGTACTGAGGTTGTCGCCTCCGATTATNTTATGTGAGAGATGTAAGTATTGATACCCCTACAGTTGATTCAGTCCCAATAGTTTGAGATTTCTCTGATGTGTTTCCAGCTGATCTTCCGGGCATGCTGCCCGATAGAGATATTGATTTTGGCATCGATCTGTTGCCGGGCACTCAGCCCATTTCTATCCCTCCGTACCGCATGGCTCCTCCTGAGTTGAAGGAGCAGTTACAGGAATTGCTTGATAAGGGTTTCATCCGGCCCAGTGTATCACCTTGGGGTGCTCCTGTCTTGTTTGTGAAGAAGAAGGATGGTTCCATGCGTATGTGTATTGATTATCGCCAGTTGAACAAGGTTATAGTGAAGAACCGTTATCCTTTGCCTCGTATTGATGACTTGTTTGATCAGTTACAGGGTGCTCATGTGTTTTCTAAGATTGACTTGCGTTCAGCCTATCATCAATTGAAGATTCGGGAGCCAGATATCCCGAAGACTTCTTTTAGGACTCCGTATGGTCATTACGAGTTCCTTGTTATGTCATTTTGGCTGACCAATGCCCCAGCGGACTTCATGCATTTGATGCACAATGTATTCCGGCCATATATTGACTCATTCGTCATTGTCTTTATTGATGAGATTCTGGTATACTCCCGGAGTCGGGAAGATCATGAGCAGCACCTGAGGACAGTGCTTCAGACTTTGAGGGAGAAGAAGTTATATGCTAAGTTCTCAAAATGTGAGTTTTGGTTGGATTCCGTGGCATTCTTGGGTCACGTGGTATCTAGTGAGGGGATAAAGGTGGATCCGAAGAAAGTGGAAGCAGTGCAGAGTTGGCCCAGACCATCCTCAGTTACAGAGATCCATAGTTTTCTTGGCTTGGCGGGTTATTACCGTCGATTTGTTCAGGGATTTTCATCCATTGCAGCACCTATGACCAGGCTGACCCAGAAGGGTGCTCCGTTCCAGTGGACGGAAGAGTGTGAGGAGAGCTTTCAGAAGCTCAAGACAGCTTTGACCACATCTCCAGTTTTGATATTGCCTACCGGTTCGGGGTTTTATACTGTCTATTGTGATGCCTGGAGGGTTGGCATTGGAGCGGTATTGATGCAGGATGGTAGGGTGATTGCCTACGCGTCCAGATAGTTTAAGGTACATGAGAAGAATTATCTTGTCCATGATCTCGAGTTAGCTGCTATTGTTCACGCCTTGAAGATCTGGCGTCACTATTTGTACGGTATGCCTTGTGAGATTTATACTGATCACCGGAGTTTGCGGCATCTGTTCAAGCAGAAGGACCTTAATTTGCGCCAGAGGAGGTGGTTAGAGCTGTTGAAGGACTATATATCACTATCTTATATCAGCGGTAGAGAGGCCCATGGCGATGGGTGTTCAGGCCTTAGCCAGCCAGTTTGTGAGATTGGACCTTTCGAAGCCTAGTCGGGTCCTTGCTTGTATGGTTTCTCGGTCTTCCTTGTTTGATCGTATCCGAGAGCGTCAGTTTGATGACCCTCATTTGCTTGCCCTCAAGAACAAGGTTCTGCGAGGTGATGTCAGAGATGTGACCATTGGTGATGAAAGGGCATTGAGGATGCAGGGTCGGGTTTGTGTGCCCAATGTTAATGGGCTTCGAGACTTGATTCTAGAGGAGGCCCATAGTTCGCGGTATTCCATCCATCCGGGTGCCTCGAAGATGTATCAGGATTTGAGACAGCACTATTGGTGGAGGCGGATGAAGAAGGATATAGTTGGGTTTGTAGCTCGGTGCCTCAATTGTCAGCAGGTAAAGTATGAGCACCAGAGGCCAGGTGGATTGCTTCAGCAGATAGAGATTCCGGAGTAGAAGTGGGAGCGGATCACCATGGACTTCGTAGTTGGGCTCCCACAGACTTTGAGGAAGTTCGATGCCATTTGGGTGATTGTGGATCGGCTGACCAAGTCTGCGCATTTCATTCCTATGTGTACCACCTATTCTTCGGAGCGGTTAGCAGAGATTTATATCCGGGAGATTGTCCGCCTGCACGGTATTCCAGTTTCCATTATTTCAGATAGAGGTACTCAGTTCACATCACGATTCTGGAGGGTCGTACAGCATGAGTTGGGCACTCGGGTAGAGTTGAGCACAACATTTCACCCCCAGACGGATGGACAGTCCGAGTGCACTATTCAGATTCTTGAGGATATGCTTCATGCGTGTGTGATGGAGTTTGAAGGTTTCTGGGATCAGTTCTTGCCACTGGCTAAGTTTGCTTACAACAACAACTATCAGTCCAGCATTCAGATGGCACCGTGTGAGGCCTTGTATGGTAGG